CTGGCTCTGGACCTCCTGGCACCCGATTCATTCCACGGCACATTGTGGGTAAAGTACTGGATTGGATACATAATCACAGGTTTACTTGTCATCCCGGCATATCTCGCATGTTGTCATTTTCTAAAAGATACTTTTGGTGGCCAACAATGTACCCGGACATAAAGGAGTTTGTTACAGCATGCCCCACCTATGCTCGAAACAAGAGCGGAAACCAACATCCCGCTGGACTTTTGTTACCTTTACCCACTCCCGCTCGCCCTTGGTCCCACATCGCTCTGGACTTCATCACAGGACTACCTCCCTCAGAAGGTAACACAGTCATTCTAACCATTGTTGATCGCTTCTCCAAGGCAGCGCATTTCGTCCCCCTGAGTAAACTACCCACGGCATTCGAGACCGCTCAGCTCCTTGTCACTCACGTCTTTCGTCTGCATGGTATCCCTACCAACATCGTTTCCGACTGTGGATCCCAGTTTGTCTCCCACGTCTGGAAGGCCTTCTGTAATGCCTTAGGTGCTAAGGTCAGTCTATCTTCTGGACATCACCCCCAATCTAACGGGCAAACGGAAAGGTGCAACCAAGAACTCGAGGCGTCTCTCAGGTGCGTCATAAATAACAATCCATCCTCATGGTGTCAATATCTTACCTGGGTTGAGTATGAACACAACTGTCATACTTCCTCCGCTACTGGCTACTCCCCTTTTGAGGCCTCCCTTGGGTATAACCCTCCATTGTTTCCCAGGGATGAAGTTGAAAATATGGTCCCGTCCATCCACCACCACATCCAACGCTGTCGAAGAATCTGGAGCCAGACTCAAAGAGCCCTTCTGCGTACAGCACAACAGAACAAGAGGTTTGCTGACCGCCATCGTTCCACCGCCCCTTCATATCAGGTCGGACAAGAGGTATGGCTATCTAGTCGTGACATAAGTCTTAAGGACATTCCTAGAAAGCTCTCCCCCAGGTTCATCGGTCCCTTTCCAGTGGAGAAGATCATTAACCCCACAGCTATCAAACTCCGTTTACCTGCCAACATGAAGATACATCCCACCTTCCACGTCTCCCAACTGAAACCCGTCTCCACTAGTCCACTGAGCCCACCAACCAACACCCCACCTCCCACCCGTCTTCTTGATAGCCAACCTATCTACACAGTTCATCGAATTCTGGATGTCCGTCGATGTGGACGTGGACATCAGTTCCTCATAGACTGGGAAGGATATGGCCCGGAGGAGAGGTCCTGGATACCTCGGTCCATTATCTTGGACCCCGATCTCATCTCAACTTTCTACAGGAATCATCCGGAAAAGAAACTCTGAATCGCCAGGAGGCGATTATTGAGGAGGGGGTGCTGAGGCATTTTAATGTTTTCGCCCCCTACCTCCTGTTCTCGGCACTGCGCTGATCACCCACACCTGCACCAGATTTGGACTCATCACCTACTGGCTTTATAAGGCAGAGCTGGAGTTCATCTCGTCGCTGAAGCATCGCCTCTGTTTGGGTACGAGCTCAGCCTGCTACCTGTGATTCTGAACCAGAAATTATCTTACCTGTGTACCTGTTTCTCCTACCTGTTTCTAGAAGCGACCTCCAGCACGCCT